GCTTGGAGTAAGCAGTCCTGCAGGTATAAAACTTGCATCTGAAAAATAGATCTTTGATATAGTCTCAGACTGTTCAAAAGGATTACCATGTGAACTGGGAAATTTCCTGTCTTTGTAAATTTAATGGCATCTGTTACTGGAAAGATAAGGTGTAATTAAATAAGGAGTTCGAAAATCAAGAATTATATAAACTGATTAATTTCTTCCTCAGCTACATTTGATTCAAGATAAAAATAAAACAATAATGAATCAGAATCGTGATGTTGTTCACTATAATTATCATTAATAGTAAATATAATATATTGCAAAAATTGTTTCAACTGAGAAACCAGTAATCTTTTGCCTTGTTCCCAATAACTTAAAAATCTGCTTTATGTACTTCATAAAGAGAATTAAATGTCTGCTTGGCAATAGAAATTCCAGTATTGGTCATCTTGCATATGCAGTTCAAAGCTTTTTCTTTTCTTTTTTTTAATATCTGCTTTGAGCAACTAATACATTCAGAGAATGGCTATTTATAACAAGTAATTTTTTCAACTTCTTTTTCCATCTGCTTTATAAAATAAATAGATATTTTAAATATATATATATATATATATAGCATAAAAGACAACTCTTCTAGTGTTATTTAGGAATGATCAGATAAAATAGTACCTATATTATATTTGTTAATCCATTCAATTTAGGATTTAACAAATAAGGTAATTAATATTGTACAGCATCATGACAAGAACATTTTTAACTGTATTCCATTATACTGTTAAGAGTAAGAACTACCATAAGGTACCTGCTGAAGATATTAGTGTGGAAGTATCATTTTTAGCCTCATTCAAACATGACAAATTTATATTCCAGAATAATCCCAGTTTGAAATTGAGTGAGTTGTTGCTATTAAATTGTAAGCAAGAAATAATATACTTCAGTCAAATGTTTAAAATACTTGAGTTAATGCAAAAAAAAATTGAATTGTGAAATGTCAATCTCTTCAAATAAAACCTCTTGAGTTCATACTTTGGTCTAGATCAGAGCTGTCAAACTGGTGGCCCATGGGCCGAATGCGACATTTGCAGGCCACACCTACTCCAGCTTTGCAAAGGGAAAAACATTGCAATATGTCACATGACAGCAATGTGATACAGCAAGTTTGACACCCATGGTCTAGATGCATAATAGCATCCATTGGCATCTACAGGCTTTCACTATTCTCATCGTTCTGACAAAAACAGTGTGTCTGAGAGATTTGAGGCATATACAGAAGGTTTGGGGTTTCCATCATGCTACTCCCCCCTCCTCATCATGGATGCTGCTTGCAGCATCCAGCATCTAATACTCTTAAAACAAGATTACTCTTCAATTTGGAAAGGTAGCACAAAAATAGATTTATAGACAGGAACTGTGATTTATTTTCAATGCAATGGAAAAACTGAGAAATATTATTTCATGTCATCAAATGTAATTATTGTTTAAGAATAGGCTAAATGATACCTTATATAGAAAATAATATGCTTTGGTAGTTTCCTTTTTCTATTCATATTTTATTTTATTTCTTTGTTTTGTTTCTCCCTCTCTATCCTTCTCTATAAAGCAATGTGAGCCTAGGACAGGTAGTCCTCAACTTAGTTCATTTAGTGATCACTCAAAGTTACAACAGCACTGAAGAACGTGCCTTATGATAATTTTTCACACTTACAAACTTTGTAGCATCCCCATGATCATGTGATCAAAACTCAGATACTTGGCAACTGGTTCATACTTATGACTGTTGCTGTGTCCCAAGGTCATGTGATCCCTTTTGCGGCCTTCTCATAAAATCGGGCAAAATGCACTTAACTAACCTCTCACGTAACAACATAAATTTTGGTCATCGAAGACTGCCTGTAGACTAAAAGGTAACTGACTCAGCAAAGGCAATATATATAAATCTGGTAAAAAAGACAGCCCTTCAGTCATGAATTTTAAGTATTAAGTTTTCAGTGCTCTACCTGAGGCTTCCTTATTAGCTACAAGAGATTGTCTTATTTCTTTGACTATTCCTTTGGCTGTTCTTTGTACAGACTATGTGAGTGACCCCATATTGGATGGAAAATATTCTATAACTGATGGAGCAAGAATGAGGCAATCTCCCCAATGGGGTTTAAAACTCTTCAGGTTTCCTATAATACCTACTAGCATGTGGTTTACTTCAATAACTTTTAGACCTTCTCCCTTCTTCTGAGCTGCAAAATCAGAAAGATCAACAGATGGAAGCAAAAATATGCAGTTGCAATTCCTATCTGGTAGCCCAGTTTCATCACTGAGATGATCTTTCTGGGAAATAATATGATTAATTTTATGACATGGTATTATGGTTGAATAAGTCATATTTGTAATGGATTGAGGCGATAAATATACTCAGTAAAGGGTAACTCAGTGTCTAAAATCAGTTACAACAAGTAGAAAATTAGGCATTTAGTTATTTCATGTTTTTTGAAGCTGAGCATAAACTAGGAGCTAAATAAAAGCTAGAATACTAAACAATTGTCTCCAAATCTCTGAAGATTTAGAAATGTTATCTATGGTAATTACGTACTCAAAAGTCCATGCTGTGCCATAAATTCTGGCCTAAAACCCCACTTTTAAAATTACAATGTATTTTCATTAAAATTGTCATCTCAGCATGATGGAAGAAATAATAGACAGGGAAAAAATTAAAATGAGCAGATGTCTAAACAATGGAAGCGAGAGAATATTAGACTCTAATGAATGTCATTAATAAATTCCCCAAGCAGATCATTAATGATATGATACAGTTTTGTGCATACCAGTAATTGTGGTCAAAATTTCAAAAGCAAGAACTGTCTTCATAAAAAATACAAGAGTTAGATAGATTTTTATAATGAATAACATTCACAATTCATTAAAATTAGGACTCAGAAAATAATTATTATAATAG